GTCAGAAGTGACTTGATGGCACACAATTACTGTATGATGAGGATGAGGTTGTAGTAGAGACTGGAAGCAATGTTTTGTATGTGACTATGTTTGTCTGGGTGTGTAATAAAGTTATATATGAGAACAACACATTAAAACGTATTTCAATAAAAAATTATTTTCTTTCAGGGAGGATCATTTGAAAGGTTTTTTAACCTTATTCTCCTAATTTTTAGAAGTTTTTCAAGTAATGAATAACATATATAATGTGTTACTAGAACAAGAAGAAATAACATTAGAGCTAATATGTTTTATACATAATCGTGAAACATGCAATGTTAACAACTGTTTTAATATAATGGCCAGAATTCTATTACGGATATACAGTGGTGCCTCGCATAGCGAGGTTAATCCGTTCCGGATTAACCTTTGCTATAGCGAAACATCGCTGAACGGGACAGGGAAAGCCACTGGAACTCATTAAACATCGTTTAATGTGTTCCAAAAGGCTCCTTTACTCACCATTCAGCGAGGTTTCCTATGGCCGGCAGCCATTTTCGCGTCCTCATTAAGCGAGGGGAGGGCGCGAAAACGCTGCGCGCGGCCATTACGGAGCTTCCGGCGGCCATTTTGTCCGCCGAACAGCTGATCGTTGGAGCTTCGTTTTGCGAAGATCGGTAAGCGAAACGCTTACCAATCTTCGTAAAGCGATTTTCGCCCCATCTAAACGACCTTGAGCGATCGCATTAGTGATCCAAAAAAACGGATCGCTATGCGATTTCGTCGTTATACAGTGCGCTCGTTAAGCGAGGCACCACTGTATGCTTGTGTTAATTCTAACTGTGTAAACTGCAGTAGCAAACTATTACTGTGATGTACACAATTGCTCTTACAACAGTGTAAATCCCCAGCAGGATTCTGGCCAGTGTTCATGCTTTGATATGCAAAGGTGAAAAGAGTATTCTCACATTAAAAAGTAAGTCCTAGTTTTGTAACTTTATGCCTGTTGAACAGTTCATGACAGTACAAGACTGTTCTTATTCTGGATTTGACTACAGCTGCATTTGCAATACAGTGATGCCTCACATTACGATGTTAATTAGTTCCAGCAAAATTGCTGTAGAACGAAAACATCGTAAAGTGAAATTTAAAAGCCCATAGAAACGCATTAAAACCCAATTAATGTGTTCATATGGGCTTGAAACTCACCGTCCAGCAAAGATCCTCCATAGCGCAGCCACGAGGAATCCGTCCCAGAAAAGAGCAGGGAGCCATTTTTTTACCTGGCGGCCATTTTGAAACCGCCTATCAGCTGTAGGAAAATCGTTGTTTTGCGAGAATCGGTTCCCGAAGCAGGGAACCAATCATCACAAAGTGAAATTCTCCCATAGGAAACATCGTTTTGCGATCGCAAAAATTCATCGTAATGCGATTTTGTCGTAAAGCGGAGCGCTCGTCTTGCGAGGCACCACTGTATATGATCGAAGAGAGTGAGAAGAAAGCATGGCTGTCCTGGCATAGAATAGGACAGGGTAGAGAATATTAATGGGTTCGTATGTTAATATTCTGTCCCCAGGACATTCCAAGGGGACATACAGATTGCCAAGAATGCAAAAAAAGAAAAAAGAAAAAGAAAATGCCACAATAATGGCTAAAAGTCCAGTTTCAGTTTTGAAAATTGTATTTTGGGTTATAGTCCAGCATGGGGATGTGACCTTCAGTGGTGCCTCGCTAGACACCTCGCTAGACAGTTACCCCGCATGACAGTTTTTCACTAGACATTAAATTTTTGCGATTGCTATGGCGATTCGCAAAACAGTGATTCCTATGGGGGAATTTCACTGGACAATGTTTGGTCCTTGCTTCGCAAACCGATTTTTGCTAGACGACGATTTTGACAGCTTCCTCCGCGCTCGCAAAACAGGTGTTTTCGGGACCTAAGCTTCGCAAGAGAGTGATTTAAACAGCTGATCGGTGGTTCACAAAGCGGCTTTCCTATGGCCTATCTTCGCTAGACAATGACGATTCTTCCCCACTGGAACATATTAATCCGGTTTCAATGCATTCCTAAGGGGAAATGCTTTTTGCTAAACAATGATTTCGCTAAACAGCGATTTTAGTGGAATGGATTATCATCGTCTACTGAGGTATCACTGTATTTAAAAAGTGAACCACCTCTACTGGAGGATTCCAGGAGCTATAATTCACTTGACAAAAAGTTAAAGGGCATATTTTGCCACCTGAGATCAATGTATATAAAACAGTTCTCCAGAGCTATATTTATACTCATCTCCAAGACAATCTACTGTCGTATCAATGTGCAAACACAAAAAGTAATTTAAGTAAAAATTTCTTGCAAATTGTGTTGACAAGACCAGAAGGAAACTGGATCATCCCGTCCTGGAGAACTTTTTCCCCAAACCATTCTCCCAACCAGGTAGTCTAGCGGTCCCCAACCTTTTTGAGATTGCGGACCGGCTGAGCCTCTGAGGAAGGGGGGCAACCCCGCGCTCACGCAGGTGCTCTCACAGGTGCACGCGAGAAGCGGTGGGGGCACACATGTGCACCCGCCAGCACCAGTGTGAGCTCTCCCCCACCCCTTCACACATGCACAGGAGCGTCTGCACGCACACACACCCATCCCTTCACTCGGGTGCATGCATGAAGGGGTGGGGGAGTGCTCATGCATGCACTGGCATGCGCACACACAAAGCAGCTGTGGGGAAAGGAGAACATGCAGGGGCAGGAGCTATGTCTCTGCCGCCATTCCAGCTCAGGCCACGGACTGACACCGGGCCACAGACTGGAGGGTTGACGACCTCTGGTCTATCGCACTTGATGCATGAACAAAACCTATCATAAACAACCATTGCTAGAGCACACCTAAACATCTACTCTTTTCAGAATCTCAACACTAACTCATACTTCTATTGATTAAAAGAGTAAAACTCCTTTGACATTTGGAAAATGATGCAATTAGTTACTTCTCAAGTTCCCTGCCTGATCCCTTATGGAAGGAGCATTTTATGCCATTTCAACTGGGAAAAAGGGGTTGTGGAGGTAGGTAAGCCCGAAAACAATTTAGATTAAGGTTAGGAAGAAGTATCTTCCCTTGACATGAAATCTTAATATTGGACTACCAATCTGATAGAGGTGGTTCAGGCTAAATTTGGTTTGGTAAACTATATGGGATGACAAAGCAAACCCATAGGAAAGGACAGTAGTGAAGCTGGCAAATTGACTATAAAATGGTATGGGCCAGACACGTCTGTTTCCCGTACTTCAACCTCTGAAAATTCTTCAGATGTTCAACTGTTTAAAACTTTTTCAACACATTGTGATCACTATTAATGGGTATTAAGCTTTAAACAAGTATACAAAGAACTAAGCTATATACTTTACAAGTGCTCATGTTGAATTTAATTGTATATTTTATGCCTGGTAAGAGAGAAAATGCCCAAATCTATCAGAATTTCATATGGTTGTACATATTTTTCTTTTGTCCTGGCCCATCTGCAACTTTAACTCACTGAGCACTTGTATGCAGTCTCTCCCCTGTCCCCCAAGATCCTTCCAAAACCTGGAATTTGTCCTGAAGCCTCCCCCGCTCAAGTCTCCTATCCCTGCCCTAAGTTGCTGTTGATGTAGTTTTAATAAAAATGCTGGTATCACTTGCTTGTCTAAAAAATCAACAGCAAAGGGCAATAATATTGTTCTTAAGAACAAAGAAAGTAAAGAGAGAAAATTTGGCATTGTGAATTTGAAATTTAACAGATTCTTAACATCTAATTCACGTGAAGTCTAAATATGATACAAAATGACAGCATTATGAATTCTTATCAAACACCTCTTGAATATAATGTCTGTGGAATTTCTTACGTTCTTATGGTCATATCTTCATTCTAAGTGCCAGAGAACCTTTCAAGTACAGTGGTGCCTTGCTTAACGATTTTAATTGGTTCAAAAAAATTTGTCGCTAAAACATCGCTAAGCGAAACACGGTTTCTGCTGAAATGCACTGAAAACCGGATAATCTGTTCCAATAGGAACGAAATTGCCGTCCTTAAGCGAAAATCGCCATAGGAAACATCGCTAAGCGAAACGCAGTTCCCCAATTGAAATGCACTGAAACCTATTCAATACATCTCAATGGGGGGGAATTCAACAACAAATTAAAAAAGAGTCAGAACAAAGTCAAATTTAGTTAACAAAAGGTTTATTAAGTGCACTTTATGATTTCAAACATTTTAAACAGTAAACTTTAACTTTATAACATTTAAAAAACAGCAAACATGAGGCTGTTTAAACCATTGTTAAGCGAAACAGGGGACCCAAATATTTAATCGTTATGCGAAGCATGGTCCCAGCACTGCTAAGCGAAAATTGCCCATAGGGACCATCGTTAAACGGAGCGCAAAAATGCTCTGAAAAAGTCATTGCTAAGCGAATTCATCATTAAATGAAGTGCTCGTTAAGCGAGGCACCACTGTATTCTCTGCACACTAGACCCAGAAAAGAGATGACAAAGTATTGATGTAAGAGGAATGTACAGTGGGAAAAATGTCAGAGATTCAAAATACTTCACACACATCATTTTCTCCTACACAGAGAATCTCAATTAGTTCTAAAGACTGGCATGATTGTTTTAATTTATTCCAAATACAAATGCTTATACTCTCAAACTTTCTAACTATAAATTGCCATGAATTTCTTTTCTGTTGTATTTATGAAGTTTTTGATTTTATAATTTCTTCTTTATATCTGCTTTTTCCTTGCAGATTATCTAGACAAATGTATCTGTGAGTGGCACAGAAATGATGCTAACAATCAACAGATCATACTTACACCACTGCAGAGAAGTACTGAGGCTCCATGAATATTTACTTGTGCTATTTTTTAATACGAAAACTGTGATGTGTGACATGGAACTAGAATAGCTACAATTTCCTAGGAAACAGGAAGAGAACTGGGAAAGAGAGGCACTATAGCCCAGGCCAAAACACTTGGCAGCCTCTACTCACCCTCAGAACTGCTGATGCTGCTCCTCCCCACTATGGATCCAGCTAAGATGTCCTCGGCAAAGTGGGAGAGGTCCCACACTAAAGCCAGGTTGTAGGGGAGGGGCGAAGACCTAAACAGAAAAGAAAGAAAAGAGACAGAATGAAAGTTTAAATTTTAAAAAGCCAGTTTAATTTTAACGGCCAATATGAGTGTTGGATGGTAAGAGTGCTACACCAAATTCTATATCACAAGCCAAGGTATGTTGAACTACACAACTGGTGATAGGTAATGATGAAAAACATTTCCCAACACAGCACTTTTTTCGAACAACTGTCTTCTAGTTACTGACAGAATGGATGAAAACTTATTATTTGTTAAATTAATAAGTACTAATTCACAAATTATTAATTGATGTATTAGACTACACAGCTACACAAAGTTGTCTCCATGTAAAAACAAAACAAAGGAAAACCACCTTGTGAAACCTAAGCAGTTGTTTGGATCCTGGTTCTTGCCTTCAGCAACAACCCCAGGTTGGCCATCTACAACCCCAAAAAGATTATTAGAAATTTTATAGATAATCTGCCACATAGCGAAATCCAAATTCAAAAGCAACATCTGAAATAAAATTTCAGCATGATGCTACCACCAGTTGTCTCTCTAGTAGGCCTGGTTCCTATTAAAAATGAAAATACTATAGTCATTTTCAGTATTTGTTGCTTTTGTAAAAGGTGTCCTCATCAGCAATTTACAGGAGCGCACAACACATGCTTTCCCTATCCCTACTCAACATGTGAATTTCATGTAGTTGCTATCTGAGAAGTCATACAGGTGACTATAAGCATTAGAAACAGAATTAAATATTCACCAAATATGAGATTTTGCTCTAATGCTACCTTCTTAACTGATTCTTAATTACTATTATGCCTAATTCAGACAATGTCTTCTATATACTTAACTGAACACCTTTCTTAGCAGCAAAAGAAATAGGAAAAATTATTTCGTATCAATCTAAATCACAGGTCGTCGTTGGCTGCCCTCCATGCTAATTACTATAGAAGTGGATAAACCTCCCCACAAATATCAGTCTTGAATGCAAAATTTCCAAACAGAAAAGTTTGGGTTTTGTCATTCCACTGCAGTAGGAACAGAATAAATCATAGAACTTAACAATCAGAAAAGCTTTTCTAAGTTACACAAATGATTGGTTTTCTAAAAACAAACAAAAAAATGAAACAAACAAAAACTATATATAAATTGTTTTTGTTTTATTTTTTGTTGGTTTTTAGAAGACCAATCATTATATATATACATAAACTCAACTCATTCCATATCAGACAACAGTTTGTAAATTGTCTGTAATAGAAACATGCAAACCCAGTTCTTGGTTTTCCCAGACACATCACATGGTTCTGACAAATGATGAATGTCTTGGTCACTTCAGCATTCCTTCCTTGACCTTATAGGAAGCAGTAGGATAGACTAAATGTTAGTCACTGCAATCTGAATAGATCTTCCTATTTCTGTACCATTCACATAAAGGACAATGGCAATTTCAAACTTCTTCATTTAAAATCTATACACAATATCTGTATCCAGATATTGGCACGATGATGTCATAAGGGATTTTTAATCTGTGGACAGAAATAAAAAGATTGGAAGCAACACACTTACAAAATGGAATCTAATTATTTGCCTGAAAGCAGTTAGGCCATTTCAGCAGAGTACACTAATACCTGAATTCAAAAAACTATTAACATAATTCATGGTTCTATAATAAGAAGTCTATGTAAAAGTAGCAGTGACTTAGATATTTCTGATTTTAGGAGAAGAGCCCCATAAAATACTTTCAGAAATGAACTCTATTTCAATGTGTTGATGTTAAATCAAATAGTAGTTTAATACTGTTAGGATAACTCCAGCTATCAAAACCTGCCTAAAATGTCAGTTTTATAATAGAGATTTATAACAGAGGATTTTATTTCTCTCTGGCTGGAGAAAAAACAAACTAAGGGGATCTGTGTTGGATGGCTAGATACTTAAGAAGCACTTTACCAGTTCTAAAACCCTGGGAGTTTCCATGGCTGGGCAGGGATTTGAACCTAGCCCTCCTGATTCCTAGCTTGTCACTATAACCACTATACCAAAATCTTAATACGTATTTATATCATTACTTGGAAAGACTGGATTTAATACCCTGATCCTGTGTCAAAAAAAATGTAAACCTTGATATGTATTTTTCATTAACAACATGCCCATGCAGAATCCATCTCTAAAAGTCATCTACTCATTCACACCTCCAGTGCCTGTAAGGGACCATTTTGAGAAAGTCACGTAAGGTCTACACAAAGTTGTAAAGGGACAATAGCTAACGTTACCCCCCCTCAAAAAAATCAGTATTATCATATTTTTCGCTTCATAAGACGTACCTCTCCATTAGACCCACCTCATTTTCAGGGGAGGAAACAGGAAAAAAAATCCTGGCAATTTTGGCCCACCTCAGAAGGGTCCTGGAAGGCACCCTTCCGAGGATACTCCCACCCCCGCGGGCCCAGTGAAATAGCCAGCTTCCAGGACCTTCTGAGGCTTTCCAAGCCTCAGAAGGGTTCTGGAAGGTCCCTTTGGAGGCTTCGCCTGCCCCCCCCCACGGGGCCAGTGGGGATGAAATCACCAGCTTCAAAGACCCTTCTGAGGCTTGGAAAGCCTCAGAAGTGTCCTGGAAGGCACTCTCAGACCCTTCTGAGGCTCCCCCCACCATCCCCCCACTGGGCCCTGGGGAGTGCTGTTTTACAGTATTCGCTCCGTAAGAAGCAGACACTTCCCCCCCACTTTTTTGGGGGGGAAGTGCATCTTATAGAGTGAAAAATACGGTACACAAGGAAACTATTAAAAGTTAAGCTGGAGATTTTAACAGAGCTTCCAAGAATTTCCAACATCATATCATGTTGAGAGAGGAAAATAGTTCCAGGAACAGTTTCACTTGGAATTGGAAAATTGGGCTAACAGATTTGTTAATTTCTCATCTTTATACAACAGTTAAAAACATACTAGCACTGGAGGCAAAACCTCAGCTTGAGAACTACATAATTTTCTATCCTTTGAGACTAAATGCTAGATCAACCACTTTGAGGAAATAGAAATATTAACCAATGCAGATTTAGGAACCCCATAAAATTAAGGCTCAACCCAAGAACTGCTGGACCCTACTTACAAAGCATTTTAAGAAAGACTACAGGAAAACACTACATTTGTAACACAGAAGTAATCCTATTCATTACATTCTCCACTGCAACATCTTCAGTATAACTTTCAGCAGTGAATTACCACAAGTTACACAGCTGTTCTACGCATTACCTATCACACACCATCCCACTGCATACCAGCTGCATGTGACAGGAAATGCCTAGACCAACTTCATGGCTTGCAGCGATTCACCAGGGAAGGTTATGCTGCATTCGCGAAGGCTTTCATGGCCGGGATCTAATGGTTGTTGTGGGTTTTTCGAGCCAAAGAGCCTGAAAAACCCACAACAACCAGAAGGTTATGCTGATTGCATTGTGCCAATAGGTGAAATGAACAGGATTATGACATATAATCCCAATTCCATAATGAGATGTTGGAGCTATAACACCTTTTAAATTACAAATATAATCACAAAGGTTTCTAAAAAGAACAGATTTTTATTATAAATTTTAAAATCTAATTTAAATTTTAAAAATAAATATTCACAAGAATGTTGGTGATTTACATGTGCACAAGTTAAATTATGTAACTCATCAGTAAAGTGTTCCTAAACTAACAAAATGACAGACATACAGTACTAATAGGTGTACATATGTTGCACATTCAAAACTTGCACCTGTAAGTTAGTCTCAATTCGTTGCAGTGAATTTGTTATACATGTGCTGAACTTCTGGAAAGCTCAGTAGTTTAGGCATCTGGCTGCAGAGCCAGAGGTTGAGAGTTCAATTCTCCTCTGTACCTCTTTGACATGGGCTGTATTCGATCTTCCATATGGTCCTTTCTAGTTCTGCAATTCAAAGGTTATTATATAACTTAGCAAATGGATTCTGCCCTTTCCTTATCTGTCATACCACAAGGAGTTACAGATTTATTGTATTGGTTTTGTAGCTTTAAGAAATTTCTAAGTCTTTAAGATACCATAAGAGAAATTTTTGTTACAACAGAATAATTCAGCTATCTTTCTGGAACATTAGATTAGAGAAGGGAGTGGCATAAACATAAAATGATCAAAACTCTTTAAGGAAAGCTTTCTAATTTAAGATGGTACACGGATCAAATTGCAAACTTTAACTACCTGGTGACTTATTAGGTGTAGGTATATATGGTTGGGCTGTTAAGTGAGTGGTGTGTGCTACAAAGCCCCTAACTTATACTTCACTTCAGACACAAACTGATCATTGAGCCTTAAGAAATTAATGGCCTCTCATCTTCATCTTCCCAGTCTGAAGACAACCTTCTACAGAATGGATATTACTTTAACTGAGATTTGCCCATTTGAATATTTATAAACAGGCATATAAATCCTCTCGTCTCATCCTCGCAGGCAAATATGAGAACTTGCAACAGCTTTCTCACTGCTAGTAAAAACGCTGGTGAATTTCCTGAGGCTTTCAATAGCTTTCTCAAATGGAGAAAAATGATATTTTATTGGGGGGGGGATGCACATTTGTGGGAAACTGCCAGTTTCTTGCACAAAATTATTTATGTGTAATATGTATATGCATTGGAGTTAACTGTTAGTAGGACCATGCCAGTGGCCTCTACCAACATGTAGCCCCTGAAAGCAAACGAGAGAGAAAAAGGGAAAGAAAAAGAAGAAAATACTCAAGACTAATCAACCACAGAAGTCAATTTATAATCCCAAACATTCACAACAACTGAGCACATATTTGATACTGGAAGGAAAACTGAACATGCAAATTTGTGTTTTTAAATGACATCTCCCAGAACGCCGAGGCACCATGAGAAATTCTGGGAGCTGTGGCCACAAAACACAAATGTACACAACTCTAACAGATACCAGTCAATACCCTTAAGCATTTCTCCAATGGAAAGGTGAATTTGGAAAAAATTCCAGTCATGGTCTACCTTCACTGACTCTTATCT